CCCGCAGCACCAGCCAGGCCCCCCCAGCACCAGCCAGGCCCCCCCAGCACCAGCCAGGGCCCCGCAGCACCAGCCAGGCCCTCGCAGCACCAGCCAGACCCCCCGCAGCAGCTTTGCTGACCATGATGCTGTTTTCTGCGGGAACCCGCACTGCACCTGACAGCGAATAATGCAGTAAGTAATCTCTGTCCTTAGGCCAACAGCCCCTGCTTGTTAGCTAAGGAGCAACACCAGGAGGATGGTGTTTCCCACAGTCAAGTTGTGTCATTATCACCTTAAAGCCAATCCATGTTTTGACTGGCTTTTTGTGTCGGGTGTTTTCCCCACCTCTCATTAATAAAAGGCAGGTGTGCACATTCCACAGCCTATTTGGATGCTTGTATTTAAAAACCAGCTTTCATTCCATGCTGGTATAACAGTGCTGTGAGAAATCTCCAAGGTGGGAACTGAAATAGACATAATAGAAGTTAAACAACAGTAACATCCTTGAGCCTGGCCAAGGTGGGTGTCTGGGGCTTTGTAGGATCCCAGAGTCAGGACTGAACCCTCTGAAAGCCAGAAGAATGGTACTACACCATTCCAGTCCTCCTGGGGGGAAGGGCTTAGTTGTGGAGGGCTTATTTTAGGGGTTTATTTTCATACTTGCCCACACTCAATACATTTCAAGTTACTTTGCACAATGTTGAAGTTAGGAGACGTTCTCCTCAAATGACAACCCACACAGAAAGGAGATTATAGGGTGCCAGTGCACATTTTTATTACAATGAAGACAGAAGTTAATGAGTGACAATTACTACAGTGTCATAAACGCTTTAGCAGATCCGATAACCCAGCTGAGGATCAAAGGTTGCACAGAGAAACCCAAGCAGAGGTGACAGAGACTGACAGAGGAGGGGCAGTGCAAGGGCCCTGGCACTCAGCAGCCTGGCTGGTGCTTCCCTCTGCTCCCAGCCTCTTGCCATCCCCAGCACCTCAGGAGCACACAGGTCCACTCTGAGCCCCATCGAGCATCAACAGACAGAAAACCCTCTGGAGATTGCCCTGAGAGGCTTCAGTAGCTCACCAGCAATATATCCAGTTTCCACCAATAGCTGTTTCCTTCAGCTTTGCAGCTAAAAAACCAGCAACTTGCCCCACACAGGCACTCCTGCCCACCAGCTTCAGCCCTGTTTGATTCTTCTGCAGACACTGTTGCTCTGTGGGCTTTGTCAGAAATCCCCGTTTGAACCTGGGAAAGATACTGGCAAAGGACAGAAGTTCTCCTTGCAAATGCCTCTTCCATCAGCTGAAGGAACCTCCTTTCCTCATTTTTGCTACACTCAGACATCTTAAGGTCTTACAACAATGTCACAGACTGTTCTGAAAGGCATTCCACTCTTGTGAAATATGTTTTGTTTTAAAACCTGCCATTAAAAAACCTCAAATGTGACACTAGCATAAGGTCAATAGTATCAGCAAGAAAAATAAGACTGATTAAAACAAGATACTTAAAAAAATCCATGACCCTTTTTCTTAGTTAAAAATGGAAAACTAGGTTTTAAGGTACCACAAAGTTCAGGAGTACAAAAATATTTACCTTTTAGAAATACCCAAGCCTGCAATCACATAAAATAAGTATCAACTGAATATAAAAATCTTCCTAATAATATGGCCACCTATATTTAACCCAGTCCTCAAACCTCTCCTATGCTGATAAAAAGGTTTTGCTGAGAAATTTAGTTCTGTCCAAACAACTATTCTATAGGTGAACTTTATAATAAGTAAAAAAAAGAATAATGAATACTGTTATCAGAGAAATTCCAGTTTGAGAAGGGATGAGAACGTCAGGGGTCACAGAGTGATGTTTGCCTCATGCCACATTTATGGCAAAAGCAAAACTGCAGAGAATTAGCATGAAAAGAAAGAACATTTCCACATCCCAAAGAGCAGCTTGAAGTGATTGCACAAGTTCCTTGCAATTAAAAGTTGTAAAGCTTTTTCTTTGTGCTTGAACTTCCCGTGCCAAGTGCCAGCACGAGACACCGTGCCATGAACTCTCAGGTTTGAGATGAGACTGTGCTTTTCTTGGCCCTTCCAGAAGATGAATCATGGCTAATTGTTATTTATAGAGGATAAAAATCAGCCTACTGCCTCCCACAGACGTAGCCAACAAGTGCATGCACAGCCAATAAATAGAAAAATAAAAGGTATTACATTTTTTTCCAAACTATGTAGTGTTCACAAAACAGTAGTAGCACAAGTCTAAGCTTTACCCTTGAGTTTTCATCTGATCTAGCATTGCTGAACTTAAAAAAAAATGCATACATAGCCTGCAGGATTTGAAGAACAAAACACTGGCTTTGTTGGCTTTTATTGGTTTTGAAAAAACTGTGGTCCCAAATTAGCCCTTTTGCATTTTTCACAGCTGCAGGTGCACATCTCCAGCACAGAGCAGCAGCTTTCTGCAAGCAACAAATCCCCTTTAGATTTGTAAATGGTACAAAAGGTTTTCAGAGGCTTTTGAAACTGCAGTCAGCTTTCTCTGAAGGTCTAAAACAGTGTGGTATCTATTCAAAGGAGAAATTAAATGCTTCAGAAAAAAAACAAACCAAAACACCTCCAAAACTGCTTATGCCAACATACCATGAGGAGCCTGAAAGCTACAACTGCCTGGCACGTTTGGAAAGTTTCACTGCCTTGCTAGAGAAGCCCAGGTTTCCTCTGAAGGTGGCTGTGGCCCATGGGAGGGTCAACAAGCTGAAGTCCTTTCTGTGTCAAAGGCTTCCCCTGTCCCCAAGACACTGGATGTTCCTGAAGCCCAAGGGCTCCAGCAGGCTCAGACTATATGGAAAAGCATCAGCTTTCACAGGGACAAGGGGAGCAGAAGGGGATCCCAGGTCCTGGGAAAAGCAAGTGACATCAAAAGATACTCTGAGGTCTCATCTTAAAAAAACCTGTCCTGGTAGTGACATTTACACCTGCTTTGCTGCAACTACATTCTGATCTCACTGGGCTTAGGTCACGGATTTGAAAGCAGGCCAGGACCTTTCCTTTAGGGGCACAAGCTGAGATTTCCAAAGGCAGGCAGACACCCAGCTCCCTTCATCCAGCCAACACGCTCAGTGAGAAACTCCAGCACTACATTTGCTACCTTTTTGCTTGCTTCCATTGGGAACCTGACTGGCTGTGTTATTCCTAAGGCTCATTTCCAGTTTACTCCTCAATTCAATGGTGTTTAGCACAGGCAGGCCCCTGTTTCTCAACAGGGACTGCACCTGCTGACAAACCCCAGGTACCAGGACACTGAATTACAGACTAAGAGTCCTACAGGAGTACACAGCATCTGTTTGGTAAACTATGTATTTGGGCACAGTAGCACAGGGGATAATAACTATAGTGCAGGAGCATCGACTGTTGGGTTTTGTTTGTTTTCCTCGGCAGAAAATGCATTTTGAGAAGATCTTGTTTATCCTTTGGCCCCTCTGAGAGTGTGTATCCTTCTTCACATAGGTGTTACTAGAATTTTAGGACTCTCCTTTGAACTCCTCATGCCAGTGCTTTGTGGCCCGTTTCTGAAACTGAAAGCAAGTGAAAAACCTGAGAAACCAGAGAACATTTTACAGGGTGACACCGCCCACTTCCCCCTCCTAATCAGCAGTGCTGAAAGAACACAACTCATACAAACATTAGAAAAGAACAAGTGCTCTGTGAAGTGCCTTTCCCGGGGCAGCAGCAGTGCAGCAAACAACCCTTGGAACTTGAATGTAATTGAGTGACTGTAATTCAGCTCCTTCAGCCTGTTTATGCAAGAAACCTGCCAAGGGAATCTGGGTTGACTCTAGGATTTCCAGCTACAGTTCATCAACTGCAAAGCTGAGAAGCCACAGATCAGACATGGGAGAAATCCCCAGTTGTGATAAGGAGCAGCATGTGTTTCTCAAAGAACCTGGCTGGAGAATTCTTCTGGAAACACAATGACAGGTCCCTGTGCCAGCCAAGGATTAGATATAGGCAACTCCAAGCTTTTTCAAGCTATTATTGCTTGTAAATTTTGTAGCAGCACAAATACTCAGTATGCTGGATGGAAGCAATGCAGCTGCACTTGGGCTAATTCCATTTCCCTCCACTGCTCCCAGAGGTTTTCCTCTCATGAGAGTAACTTGCCAACACTGGCCACCTCCACTGCACCAGCACTACAATGTACACAGACAGTGGAGAGGTTTGCTCGGGGGATCCTAAAAAGCAAGCATGGTGTGGCAAGAGAACTGTCACTGCTTACAGCTAAACAAAACAAACCAGGAGAAAAGTGGTCCTGCTGTGTCTTTAGCCTCCCAAATTAAAGAAGCTGGAATGGTGAAATCGTGAGTTTAATTTGGAGTGGTACCTAATGAACTTAACTGAAAGAATTAAGTGTTTTGTAATGTCAACCACCCTACTAAATTAATACTTTAAATGCAGAGTTAAGAAGAGACAATGACACTGTGTTGGGAGGTAGGAAGCAACAGCCTCAAGGTGATGTGAAGGTCATCCTTGATTTGCAAGTGCTCACTTCCAAGCACATCAGCTCTCAGGTTCAGAGAGCCTGGAGAAACTGCATTAACATCAACGTCTGACAAATGAACAACCAAAAAAAAAAAAAATCTAAAGGGCACTTTGAAAGCTTTGATGTTTTGCAGTGGAGTTGATGAAACACATGTAGTGATTGTAGGAGAGGTCCTGAGTTCCCGTGAGGCACTGGATGGCCAACAGCCACCTTACCATTTCACCTTCAGCATCTGCTCAAAACTGTCGGGCAGGGCATTCCCAAAGCTCTCCGGGAGAAACAGGGTGAGGATCCCAATCAGCACAGTCAGGCTCCCCATCAGGATGTAGGGAAGGAATCTATCGTAGGCCCCTGCCAGAACACAGGACATGACACCAATACTTAAACACATCAAACTTCTATTCCAGCCATCACTGTAACACAGAATTAATTTGGAACAATTAGCTGAAATCTTCACAAATACCAAAGGTGGATCCCAAACTGAGCTACATCTGGTATCTGACAGTAAACAAAGGAATTTTGCAATTTTAAATCTACAACATGTGCTCTAGGATGGCCACCCCCCCTCCCCCCAAGCTTCATGCCATCCCTCTGTTTGTGCAGTGGGTGGTGGGTTTCTGTGAATGTTCAGCTGGCACAGCCAACATCTCTGCAAGGCAGAAGCTCTGCTGGGGTGACTGCTGGAGCCTTCAGCACTACATGGTCATCAGGAACCAAATCCTCTGACAGATAACTCATTAGGAGGGAATAAAAGTGCTCATAAGCAAACAAGCACTTAGAGCTGCCTGGGACTCTGCATCCTGCTGGGCTTGTGAAAAAGAAGGGAAGAGACTGATGGCAGCTGAACAGCCAGTTTTGGACTCCTGGGCCATTAACAAAGGATTCCTTAAGTACCTTCCTTACTGCACAGGGAGAAAGCATCAGGCTTTCTGTGACAGACAAGAGGCTCTGACCTTGGTTTACTCAAAATATGATTTTGGACAAGAAGGCAGCAGCCCCTGCCAGCAGCCTGAGGGTAGCACACAAGTGTTTGGGCAGGATGCAAGAACTTCAAGTCACAATAGCCCAGCAAGGAAAAGGATCTTTCAGTAAAGGGATTAGTCAGGAGTTAAAGTATTTAAGGTAGAGAAAGCACTAAACTGGGCTTGACAGCTTTACTTTTCAATAAGGACAGGGCAATATGCTTTCTAATGTATGGAATAAACTAGGATTAAGGTGAAGACCCTGGGTATTTCACAGAGAGCCAAAGTTTGTGATCTGATCTCTTCTGTGTTCATGAGCTGGATGAGCTGCGAGGTCCCAATTTAGATGCAGCAAATACCAGCAGCTGAAGAGTTTCTCCTAAAACCTCCTGAAGTTTAGAAAACTATTCTGATAACTGGAACAAGATCTTTAAAATCTGCGTATTTTCCATGTATTGTTCTGGAAAGCACAGATTTGGGGAATGTTTGTATTCCCACTTGGTTCATCTGCTCCTGACATACCCTTCTTGGGATGTGCATGTACAATGCAGTTTCCCACTGGTGCTCACTTGCTAGATGGCTTTTTGTCCCATTCCCCTGAGAAACTAACTGGTGTCCCAGGGATAACACCCATTACCAAGATGTGACCAGGTATCATCCCAACCCCTCCTTGCATTTTTTATAAAGATTGCCATTGTCTGGGAGCAGCTCAGACCCACTGGTGCTGTACGAATGGTTCCTGGCCTCAGTAAAGGAAAAAAAACCACCTGAATCTTCTGTGAAACCCAAGGAGGTCCTCAGTCCTAGAGTGTACAACCATGACCTCCCACCCATGGTGAGAGAAGGGACTTAGAAGACAAAATATGAAGGGACTTAAAGCTGAGCCTGCCCTGTAGAAGCTCTGATAACCCCTCTGGGCAGTCATGCAGTGCAAGGCAAGAAAGGCAGGATGTCTCACCCAGGTAAACAAAGTAAGGAGCAATGATACTGCCCAGCCTGGAAGCTGTGGAAGTAGCTCCGACCGCCATGTTTCGCACCAGTGTTGGGTACAGCTCCACATTGTACACATAGAGCATGGAAAATGCAGCTGTGATGCCAAATTTTCCCAGCATCACCAAGCAAACAGACAGGACATTTAAATCTGGAGGAGGGAAAAAGATAAAATCAAGGTGAATAAACAACACTCTGTGCTTCCTGCTTGTGTTTCTGCTACATCCTGAAGACCACATGGCTGGTTTTTTTAATTAGTGGTTTTGGGTTTCTTTCTAATTCTACAGTGTTTCAGCACCATCCTGAGTTGACATGGCTGCAAACTTCCCACCCAGCATCATGTAGATGAAAAGCTGATCTCGTACTTCCCAGATTTTGGTTCCCTCCCAGTAAAACAGCATTCTTGAAATGGAACAACATTCTGGATTACACAGCAACAAAGCACAAGCTCAAATCCACCCCTTTTCCACAAAATCCTGCAGAGATTTACACACAGTGAAATCTGGAAGACTTGTGGGTTCTTTTAGCCTCTGTGCACAACCAGATAAATCACTTTTGGCTCTCGTTTTACAGCTGGTTCCCCTGGACTATAAAAAGCTCAGTAATTTGACACAATAAATGAGAGCCATGCATGACTCAGCACGTACACACACAGAGGGGAAAAGAAACCCCAGCTGCAAGTGGGCAGCATGAACTTGACCCCATATTCTTAATTTGATCAAGGTTCCCAGTAATTTTACTGAACTATTCGATAGCACGGTGAAATAGTTTATATAAAATTAGGTCACTTATTGAATGCTGTACCTTCGGGCACCAGCTGAATGAAGAGGACAACACCTCCCCCCAGGAACAGGGTTCCAGACAAGGAGTAGCGCCGAGGGAGCGAGCGGAGCAGGAGCCAGGCAATCACATAGGCTGGGACTTCAATCACAGCCGAGAGGAAGCAGTTGATGAAGGCATCTCCGTGCCAGTTGGGAGTGCTCAGGGACAGGCCAAAGTAACCAATTGACGTGAAAAACCTGAGGGAGGCAGTAAAACCAGATTATTCCAGAACCACCAGGATCCGAAGGCCTCCAGTGTTGCCTCAGGTGTTGTTACCAAAATAGGGTGTCGCAATGCATCGCTACAGGCATCGTGGCTCAAGGAACATCCCAGTGCCAACCCCATCTTTCTAATTCTGCCATCCCTTCCAGGGATCATATCCACAGCAGCTTGAAGAGACCTCTGATTTCTCTGTCCTTCCTGCACATACTATACCAAGAAAAAAGCTTTGTGGAACTCATTCACAAAGGCTTTTCACTGCAATGGACCCATTAACAGCACAATGAAATAACTCTTGAGAGCTTCCCATGCCAACTACGTTCCTACTCAGAGCCAACTCCAGTGACAGGATCTCCCACCCTCAGCAGGTCCGTTACATCTTATTTAATCTTCACGAAAGAGCTGGACGTTCAGGTTTGAGATCTCAAGGGTGCCTCACTACAGCCAAGTGGCCTGGCCAGTTCTTTTCTGCTGGGGGAAATATGTACAGAAAAGGGTCCTGGTTTGTCTATACAGTGTTATTTGGTCCTCATTCCTCGTGGCTGCCCAGGCAGGGACCAGGATCTCCCTGAGATGGGGACGGTACAGAAACAGAACAAAAACGCTGGCCATGGGTCTGGTCCTTGTTGCGTTACTGAGTTGCTGCCTTTGCTTCAAGAAGGACATTTCTCTTCAAAGAGAAATTACAGAGATGGGAGCTTCTTAAAAAAAAAAAAATCATTTAAAAGCAACAGAATTTGAAATACACAAGTTGCTATGTGTAATTTCCTAACTATATTACACCTGAGTCGTGTCTCCATGCTCTTGTGTGATGATGCAGTGTGGGTGCGAGGACACCGAGGGCCACGGACTGGCCAAGGACCATGGGTAGATGGGCTCCAAGGCTGAGACTTATTATCTAAACCTGTGGCACGTGCCCTCAAAGTCAGGAACTGTCCTATTGCCTGGGTACTTTAGGAATACACATTTCCTTACCACAAAAGTAATGACATAATAGTAATAGTTGCAATGTTTCGGGTTCGAAATAGGTCCAGAAGGATAGCCTTCTGCTGCTGCTGGGGCTTCCAATCCTGCATCTGAAGGAAAAAGGAAAACAAAACCAAAAAAATTCCCACACACCTAAGAGCAAAACAACCTCTGCACACCCACAAGTCTGGGCAGTTACGATGTTATGACTCTATCGGGGATAACCAGCCAGCCCAAGGGCTGCACCAGGATGGTCCTGCTTGTCTCTGCACCCATCTGTACTCCTGCAAGTTTCCAGTTTTTTGTTAAAAAAAAGTAGCACTGAGGCCACTGCACCAGGGTGGCTAATTAAAAGCTGAAAAGATGCATTAACATTTCCTTAGGGATATAACACAGAACTTCCAGAGTAACATGATCACCAAAGGCATCTTTCTGTGCACTGTCCGCTCAACTCTCTTCTCATCAACCTTCACCAACAGTGGGAAATAAATGCAGAAAATCACCCAGTTTTGCTGCCTGCTGGGGCAGGGATGGATGCCAGAGCTCGGCAGGGTGGTCAGGGAGTTTCATGGAAGCATCCACCACCCTAGATTGGAGACAGAGGGTCCAGTTTGAAGCTTGAAGCAGGAATCTTCTGTGTGGCACCAGGGTGCCCTTCTGCCTGCATGGGGAACCCTTGCTGGGGCAAAGCCAGTCCTCGTGGCCAGGCTTCCCCCAAGCCCAGAGAGCAAACCACCCTGGCCCTCCCTACAGGGCTACCCAGGAGATTTCCTTGCCTAGGAAGAGAGGATGGTTCCAAGGAATGTCTTTCTAGCAGCATTTGAAAAATACTTCCAATGAAGGACTTAGCATGTGAAACATCATCCTCAGGCTTTTGTGGACAGGCTCTTTGGCACACGAGACTCCCATGCAGCAAAAGGCAGCTGAGCTGCTGCTTGGTCTCAAAAACATGCAGGAGTGATGATGTGCTCATCCAGGCCACGTGCTGGAGCCCAAAAAAGTCACATCCAGTACGAAAGATGTCTGAACTCTGGCTGTGAAGTAAGGAAAGTGCTTTTCCATGGCTTCTATAGCATAAGCTTCCCATAGTTGGAATATGCACTTCAAGTTACTAGGACTTGGGAAAGAGATCTTCAGCCAAAGTGGCAGCAGGGTCCTGCAGGGGGGGCAGCATCTCCTTTCCTGCACATAGTGCAGAGCAGCACAAGGTGCTCGGCTTTCTGCTCCACCAGGAGACGTCAGGAAGCACCGAGTCCTGGAACAATGCAGGGAAGTAAGATCTGGCAGACAAGACACCGGTTTCTTCGCACAAGAAAAACGGTGGTTTCTCTTCAGAAGGAGCTCCACGAGGGCAGAGCCACTAGGGGGGAGGATGAGCCCAAGAACCAGCCGTCCTGCTGCTGCCCCGCTGCTCCCAGGCTCAGCAGTGCTGGGCTCCTGCTGGGCTTTCTCCTTTCCATCAGTAAATATCAAACACAAGGAAAAAAAACAGGCCCGCAGAAGAGCTTAATGTTCTTCACTGCCTTTGCTACCATCGTGGTTTCCAAGTGCCCTTGTAGCACTGGGGTGCTTTGGCTGGTGTGTGCAACCTGAGGAGTCCCTCAGGGCACGCGTGGGCGCCGACTGAGGGTCCCTGCACAGCCCCCCCAAAGGGCTGCTCCTGAGCTGCAAACCATTCACACCACACCAAGCTGGAATGAGGACAAACACGTCCTCCTCAGGTCTTCCCAATGCCTGCAGCGTGAGGCCACCTGGGTCACCCTTGCTCTGAAAACCACAACCAACCACTGCTGAGGGAGAAGATTGTACTGGAAAAAGAACACAACAAACCAATCCAACTCCCCCTCTGGCTCCTGGCTTTGAACTCACTAACCCAGCACTTACCTCACACCAACGCTCACTGCCAGGCTCTGCGAGCTGCTGGTGCCAACCATTGCTCTGCTGGCACTTCCCAACAAGTCAAATGGCCAAGAGGGGGAACTGCCACCCAGGCAAAGTGCTGGGATGCAGGGAACCTACCTCGGTGGTGTCGAACAGCGCGGCGGGGGCTGGGACGCCGTTTATTTTCGCGGCCTTTCGGATAATAACTTCTGCCTCCTTATACCTTCCCTGGGAGATCAGCCACCGAGGGGATTCAGGAATGATCCTGCAATAAGTTTCAGAATAAATGACTCAACGTTTTCACAAAAAAAAAAAAAAAAAGAAAAGAGACAGTAATGAAAAGCACATGTCTGGATTTGATGAGTTGTGCTCTCATCTCAGATTGCTGGCAGCACGGGAGCATGTGGGCAATGTAATTCATTGGTATGTCCCCCTGGGAGCAGTGGGAACATTCAGATATATGGGACATGTTTATCCTTGTGCTAAAGTAGATGCAGGTTTGGGCCCTTGTCCTGGGTGGTTGTTTTTTAAGGAATAATTGATATTCACCATAAAAAACCCCAGCTGTCACCAGACAGACAAGGAAGATGGGAGTGCAGAGCAAAAATATTTTGAGGAGTCTGCTCACAATGTGGAAATGCTTTAAATATGCACAGGGTATATTGAAAGGCTCTGAGTTGTAGGAATCTTACATACAAACCTCAGAATTTTACCACAGCTCTGGGGCAGGCTCTCCCAGGCAGAGGACAGTGTCCCCTTGCGGAGCTGCTGACATCTTCTAATCAATTCCAGGCACATGTTGAGTGAATTAACACCAAACACAGGACAGAAAATCTCACCCTTCCTTGACTAAACCCTTTGATCTTTACAGATGCTTCTTTCCTCCCTTTAGTCAGCTGCACTTTTTCCTCTCCTTGGAAGAAAGCAGGTCAGACACTCCCTTTCTGATTAAGTCCCTAGAGGACTGACCCAAAGCTACGTCAAGGGTTTTGAGCGTCAGATGATTTATATCAGATCATTCTACCCCTCTGTGACTTCCTGTGAGACGAGTGGTCTCCACTGCTCTTCTTTGTGGGCAAGCTGAAGAACACAAGACTGCAGAGGCGATGCTAGGAACCTTCTGGAGAATTTGGAAGAGGAACAAATAGAAGAGCAACTAAGACACAGAACAGTGGGATCTGCAACTCACATCACCTGTGGGATAAATGGGTCCAGAGGCCCAAACACCAGCTAATACCAACCTGCCTCAGCAGAGCCCTGAAGTGCACCTTGATCCCCACCTACCCCCACATTAGCTCCAGGCTGGAAGTGTCATCTGTGGAAATCTTGGGCATGCTTCATATTGTATGCTCTTTAAAAGTGTGGGGATTCCCATCAACTGCCTTTCCAAGCAAGAGTCTGAAGATGTGCCTTGAGACAAACTTCATGTGCCTGTTTCATAGCAGTCATCTAAAAACCTTCCACCCAAAACCAACCTCCCCAAAGAGAAGCAGGGTAATGCCACTGTGTCAGAAGAGCTTGAAACATTTCAAGTTAAATATGCAAAATGACCCTTAAACAGAATCAGACTATCTTTAAAATCAGATGATAGCAGAAGACAGATCTTCAGGATCTATAGTCTTTGAGACTATAGAAGAGTTGGTCTGATCACTTAACTGTTATAAAGATGTTAATCTCTTACTTATAACTCCTTCAAGATAATAGGAAGAAGAGAGTTCCCCATGTCAGACTAATATGAAAGGAAGGAACTCTCTGTTGTGAACCATCCTTTTGGTAAGGGTGCCACAGCCTGCCTTTCCCTTCCTATTTTCCAAACATCTCTCTCTTCAGAAAACAACAGATGATCAAGGCAGCAACAGAACAAGGCCCTTCTTAGAATCATAGAATGGTTTGGGTTGGAAGGGATCTTCAAAGGTCACCTAGTCCCACCCTCCTGCAGTGAGCAGGGGCATCTTCAACTAGATCAGGTTGCTCAGAGCCCCATTTAACCCCACCTTGAGTGTTTGCAGGGACTGGGCATCTACCACCTATCTGGGCAACCTGTACCATTCTTCAGTGCTTCTGTCCAGTTGGGAAGAGCAGGGAATTTCTCTAAACTGTTTCTCAGCCCCCCAGGGCATGGAGGGATGCACCTCCATCTCAGCCTTAGAGCAGGGATGGGAGAATGCAATGGAAAGCCAAAAGAAAACATGGGCTCAGCTGCCAAGAACACAGCATGGGATGGCTGAGGGGAGCAAGGTAAGGAAGAGCCAGACAGAGTTACTATGGGCCAGAGGAGGTGACAAATTGAAGTTGTGCTCCAGCAGCAAAAGTGCAGCCTGGGAGGACAGACAGGTCCCATGGGAGAGGGCTGGACCAGTGGGTTCTGCCTGCAAAGGCCTCTGCTGCAATGAACTGCTTCATGACACTGAGCCCACCAGGCTGCCAGCTGCTGCCTGCCCAGAGGATGGGCCCAGCCTTTCACTGAGGTTTTTGTACCGACCAGCAGGTGAATCTGCACTAAAAATGGCTTAAAGCAAAAAGGAAGGAGGCAAAGTTAGAACAAACCACCCAGGGCGCCACAGGGGTAAACCTAGAGGTGGTTAACTGTGCCCAGCGTTAGGAGTTAAATACAGAATTCCCAAGCTGCTCTGGAAACCAGAGGAAAAGTGCCTTCAAGCACAGGGCCAGCACCAGTGAGGCTCTGCAGGCAGTACACTTGACTTAAAGCCAGCAACAAACCCCCAAACAAGCAAACAAAAAATCCCCCCAACTCCCACCTCCAGGCAAAGCCTCCTCACCTGGCAAATAGCTAAAAAAAACCCCAACCACCACAAAAACCAAACCAACAACCAAAACACAGAGAAGTGGGGGCTCCCCCCAGCACCCTGCCATGATCCCCACCTTGGGGTGAGGAGGGAAGGGGAGTGGGGAGCACTGGGGGGACTCACCACCAGAGCGGGATGCAGAACAGCCCCGGGACCGTGAGCGCCAGCAGCAGCATCCGCCAGTCTCTGATGAAGTAAGCAAAGAGTGGCAGCAACATGTAGCCAATTGCAAAAAATATGCAAACTCCTAACGTAGAGAATATAATACGAACTGATTTGCCCAGAATTTCTGTGCCTGTTTAAAACAAGGGAGGTTGGATTAGCATTTTTAACTCTTTCTTTGTCGATCACGACTAAATACTGCAGTTACAAAAATAAATATAAAATAAAATAAAATAAAATAAAATAAAATAAAATAGGAAAACAGTCTTAGAAGAAGAGCAGTTTCTCTTGTCAGCCTTAAAAGGCCTCCTGCTCTTGCCTTTTTCTCTAAACCTGTAAGAAGTCTAGGCTTGAAGTATGCAAAAGCAAAAATAAATACATGAATAAATAATCATACTGGCCTAAATTAGGAATTGTACCAGTGAGGATTTACTGCTAATTAAATAATGCAGGTTCAGAGGAGGGGGGAAAAATAAAAGTACATGAAGCAAGTATTTAATCAAATGCAGACATATTCATACCCAGTATGAAGGCCACCACGTAGTTAGAGATCTGTCCCATTCCCACTATGAGAAAGAGCACTGTGAACATCTCCCAGCTGGTGGAGAAGATCTGCAGGAAGCTGAAGCCAGTCTGCACAGCCATCGTCAAGAAAAGGATGTTCTTCCTGCCAAACCTTTTGCAAAAGATACAGATTATGATTGAAACTGTGTGTATTGGGGGGGGGGCTGTGTAAGGGAACACAAGGGAGCACAGCTCTCCAACCTCAAGTGACACAGCTGAGCACAACGCCAAGTCTGGTTCATGTTAAAGAATTTCATTTATTGTTTTGATAAGCACTAAAAAAACATATATATATAAAAATTTCCAAGGCCTGGGGAATAAACCAAGAAGAAAAATTAAAAGCAGAAACTTCAGGAAGACTCTAGACAGGGACTCAGGAGGCTGGAGAACAGTGCATAAGTGAGAGACACAGGAAGGCTGCAAGACACACAGCTGGAAGTGAGGAAGTGATGGCTTTTAGGCTACTGGCATCTATCTACTGCAACATCATGACACTTCAAATGTGTTAATCGACTGGTTTCAGCCTCTCAACTGCTTCTCAGCATTAGAAATCTATTGCTTTTGCTTCTGGAAAGGTAGGAGCAAACTGCCAGGGGGCAGGCTGCAGGGCCAGGGGAGAAGCTCCTGCAGCAGCACAGGGGACCCGGCTCAGGTCCAGGCTCTGAACCCCGCTCCTGACAAACCATTTCCAAGACAATGGAATGAAGAGCTGTCGGCAGCAGGCGCCGGGCAGGGTGCCCGGGGCACCCAGTCTGCAGATGCTGCCCCAGGGCACATGGCACCGCTGGGATTTAGGGATTATCTCGTCTCCCTTCCCAACGGTAACACTGACTGACTTCTGCACCGGGGGCAGGAGTCAGGAGATTAAATTCCGATCACATGGAATTTGAAAAGCTGGAGGCTTTAGGATTAAGACTCCTCTGGCTAAGGAGAGCTGAAGCTCTGGGGAATTCCTCACTGCCAGGCAGCAATCAGAGTGGTATTTGAGACCCTATGGAAAAAGGCTGAGGGGTGTATGGAGAGGGAAGCAGAGACTCACAGAAAGAAAACACATTCTGCATTTGACACTTTAAGGTCAGAACTTCAATACTGCAGAGATAACTCTCAAGTGCCTGTAAAGCTTTCTTGCTATTTTGCATCCACTCAGAGGGAATGCCAGGACTGCTGTCCCCTCCCTGCTTATCTGTGCCCTTCCCTCCACATACGCTTCCTTTATTTCCAGCAAACCACCTCTCCTATGCAGAGCTTCCATTCAAATGATCAGCTTCTATCTATCCTGTCCAAAAATGGACTTGCAGTTAACGTCTGACTGAGATCTGGTGGAGTACCCAGATGACTGGATAATGGAACAAATGTGGCTGTGAGGTGAAAACCAGCATAGCAATCTGCATGGGGAGAACAGCCCTTGGTCTCCTGAAGCCCCCAGGAGACAGCAATTCTGCACCCGTGGTAGATGAAGGTTGGTGTTTCTGAGGAAGCCAGGCCAGTTACCTCGTGTTGACCAAACCTCAGGGACATTTAACAGGCTCACACCTCTGGGAACACCCGCCCTGCCCAGCGCTGTTACCTGTCTGAGAGCTGCCCCGAGATGAAGGAGCCAATGAGGACCCCCACGAAGAAGAGGGAAGTGGTCAATGGGGCTTTCCAGTCGTCCTCACACACCAGGTTCCACTGCAAGAGAAGGGCCTGTGTTCAGCCTCAGCACCAAGCCCTGCCCGGGCACTGGGGCTCACGGCTGCAGACACAGGTTCCCCCACACCCCCTTTCCGCCCATCGCTGGCACAGCCACTGTTTCCACAGCAAAGGTCTGTGCTGGGAAGCTCTGCTTTCAGCATATTAAAACAAAAAAAAAAAGGGAAAGCAGTTTGCTTCTCCAGGCAAGCCCCAAGAGGCCAGAGCCCCCCAGCAGGACCCCACAGCCTCTGTGCAGGGGAAGGGCAGCGATGCCAAACCCGAAGGGCTGTCAGTGCCTGCAGCCCGGGGGCTGCCCTGGCCCCAGCTCCAGCATGAGCCCCCCACCCTGCACTCATCAGGCCCCCAGTGCTCCCAACCTGGCTCCCCACAGCCCAAGGTGCCCTCCCCAGAACAGCAGAGAGAGGGAGCAGGGTGAAGGAAGGGCTGCCCCAGCCCAGCGAGGTCCCAATTTATCTGACCTCTAAAACTGCTGCATTTCTATCACTTCTGGGTTTGATGAAACATATGCAGGAAGATGCACAGAAAAAAAAAATCTCTTTTCCCACACAGACACGTTTCCAGATTTCTTTCCAGGCCCACAGGCTACAGGGCTGACTCACTGCCCATCACTCAGCCTTGCCACCAGACCCAGCGGGGACTGGAGGCTTAGGACAGGAGCCAGCATGGAAACTTCCACCTAAAGCCACTCATAACCCCAGATGAGGTTTAAAAAAAAAAATGATAAAAACAGCATAATGAGTCCCAGTCCACTGGAGTTACAGCTGAGCATGGTTCTGCCAGGGCTTGCTCCTGTCCTGGTGACTAATCCCTGGTTAAGGCATGCCTGCCGGGAGCACTTAAGGATAGACTTCAAACATGTCAATCTCAGATTAGATAATTCTACACAAAGGTAAGATAATCAGATCACAGATCAAAGCACAATGTAATTTTCATAATCATCAGAGAGCAGGAACATCACCCATGCCAGTGCTCACCCTGTGCCCAGGGAACGAAGGGGTGAGACATCTGAGCAAGGCCAAGCCCAGGCAGGGGCAGTGGGGCATAATCCTCCCCTCTGGGCTGCTCAGGCTCCTCAGCTCAGCTGCAGGCAGCAAAAAAAGAGCAACTCTTGCATTACAAAGAGACCCAGATGCCATCTGACAGCACCATGAGTCCTGCCAACACCGACCCAAACCATCTGGGCTTCATCCTGCTGCAGAGGAAGGAGCAGAGCCACCCCAAAGCAAGGGGGATGTGCTGTGGTTCCATGCAGTTGGCTCTGGACTGTAATTCAGGAAAGAGATGCAATCAGTGCCTGTTCTCAGGCAGAAGAAAGGTACAGTGCCCCAGGGAAGGAGCTGGGTACCTCTGCCCAGCTTGCACAGTAACACCAGCTGCCACCAGGACAAAAAGGGACCGAGTTTAAAAACACAGCTCATGCCTCTGCCTGGGCAAGTCAGAGTCTGTAACAGGGGACCATGGAGATCTGAGGACTGAAATGTGCTTCCAATACTGAAATCCAATTAATAACAAAAATAAGCCTGCAGCGGCCATTTCTGGAAGATATTTTTGTGCAATTATTTCCACACCCCTGCTTGGAAGGGGTTGGCCTGGGAATTCACCTGCATTTTTCTTCACTGTCTTTGATAAGGTGGATGTGGCATGCTGGTCAGTAGGGCTCTCATATGCTCAAGAATGCTAGAGCTGAAAAATATATCTAGAGATCTGTTTCATATGTCAAAGAAAACTGAGATGTCTGTAAAAAAACCTGGTGGAAATCAAGCCCTCTCTTTAAAATGGAGCAAAATTGACCATCAGGAAACACAGCATTAAAGGCAGGAGTTTCTTTGCACACAGCAAGCAGGGAAGGAGGAAAGGCCCAGAGGGGCAGATCCTCCAGGTCCTCCTGCATCACCCCTTCTCTGCCCTGGGAAAGCTGGTGACAAAGAAAGTGGCAGAATTTGCAGCTGATACAGATGACCATTAACTATCAGGGTGCTAAGCACCCTGCTCTGGGGCTGCCAGCACCTCACCTGCTCCTGGACCTTCAGACTTCAGTCACTGGAGGCTGAGGGGCAGGTTTATAAAATGCCTGCACGGTGCCAAAGGCTCTTTGGCTACAAAAGAAACCCAGCTAAATAGTAACGTGCCCACACAGCTCAGTTGCTTCCTGTTTCCTTGGTGCCAAATGCCCCCAACCTGGCCATTCACTCTGCCTTATCTCATGCCATACTGCACAGACAGCAGAAATTCACTACACAGGGTCCAGTGGTTAAAAGCTGGGGGATGTGGTGGTAACCAGCTGGCAGGAGCTGGCAGGAGAGGGGCTGCTGTGGGCAGGGACCTGCTGTACTTGACCAGAAAACACAGAAACACAATTAAATCCACCCAACTCCACGTATACATGAAGCTGTTGAGTGAAAAAAAAATCATGCTGCCTATTTTAGATCCAAGCCCACCCTCAGCAGGCAGGACCTGGGCCATGATCTATGCAGCCCTACTCTACAGGTACACCCCATCTTTCCCCCAAACACCAGCCTTCCCCCCCACAAGGTGTTGGCTCTGACCCAGGCTCACATGTCATGCTGTATCATGACTGAGCATATGTCAACATGGTAAAATTATGCTCATACTGGAATGTAGAGGGTTTTGAGTTATATTCCCTGGGTGCTGACTCCTCACAAGCAAGGGAAAAAAATGCCATTTAACTTGTCCTGTTCCCCAGAGGCTGTATCCATCACTGGATGGATCCCCACACCGTGGGCACCAGAGCTACAGCCCAGCCACAGCTCAACTACCTACAGCTTCCAAACCCTCTGTGCTGGAGTAATTATTCATTAACCAGAAAATAAGTAATTCTAAGCATAGTGGAGAGCAAAGTTCTCGTAAGCTTCCAAGCAAGTTATTTGAACACTAGGAGTAAGAGCTGCTGGAGAACAACACTGGCAAATCCCTTTATTACCATCAAATCCCTCCAGCCCTTTGCCATGAGCTACTGGAAGAGCCAATTCTGCCAGGTACTACTGGTGGGAACTCTAGGGATGGAAGAGGAGTGTTAAAAACTGAACCTGCTGGAGAAAGTGCCTTGACTGCCTGAAGTGACCCCACCACCTGCATCTCAATTAGAAATCACTAATTAACCATCCTGAGCATCAGCCCGTTCACATCAGAGAAGGAAACACTAACAGAGCCCTGTGTAAATGCTCAGGGGAGAAGCTGACCTTGTTTCTAAGAGTGCAGATGAACAGCTCAAGAGATATTAAAAAAATCTTCCTGGGTTGCACCCGTTAAGGGAACAGAAAAACCCTTAAAACACCTTGAAACTACAACAATTCATGTCCAGCTTCTCACCTCTGCCAGTCCCAAAAGCTCAAGGGAATTAACTGGATGCTCATGCCCTGCTGCAAAGAGCAAAACTGATGTTTGTGCCCAAAGCTCTAGTTAATGTCAGAGCTGAGCATCATTATGTGGAATTAAACCAGAAGTAGGTTAATTTCCAGACAAAAAAAACCCCAAAACAAACCAAATATAACAAAAATACATATGTTAATATCTCTGGTGCTTAATCCTGAACTATCAAGTTTTGCTCCTCAAACTGAGTTATTCAATCAAAGAGGTTTTTTTCACAGAGCTTTCCTGATGGCCTGTCCTGGCTTGTCTTCCCTAACACAGAACATTTGGGCATAAAAGGGTCATCACAAGTTTAACCAAACTGCCTCTTTTCAGGGTTTCATCAGAGCCTGTTGTTCTTGTTTTAAAACCAAATTCTAGATATTATTTTTTTTCAAATGTCTGTGACAATTTTGAAACAAAACAAGTCCCCTTGTTTTCCATCTGGTTTCCAGATGGGAACCAGGCACTTGGTTTCCATCTCTGAACATGATGTTGCCTCTCTGGGGTGACCCAGGCCCCATGACAAACCCCTGGCTCTTCTTTCAGCTTTCATCACAGGTTGTTTGCTGCTCGTTGGGAAAAGAGCAGCTTTTCTCCTCCTTCTGCTTCATCTATTGTCTCCCTCAGAGCAACCAACTCCAAACCACAGATGAGGACTTGATGGGTGTGTTTCCCAAGCACCTTGATTTGGTGTTGTGAGGGATCCCTGATGACCCAGCAGGGCTGCCAGCACAAATGGCACACACATATGGGTGTCACACACATACGGGTGTCACACATATACGGGTGTCACACACATATACGGGTGTCACACACATATACGGGTGTCACACACATATACGGGTGTCACACACATACGGGTGTCACACATATACGGGTGTCACACACATACGGGTGTCACACATATACGGGTGTCACACACATACGGGTGTCACACACATATACGGGTGTCACACACATACGGGTGTCACACA